TTCCCCAGCCAGCAAGGCTGGCTGGGGAATTCTGGGAGTTGAAGTCCACCCATCTGAAAGTCGCTGAGGTTGAGAAACATTGCTCCAGCTGATCTCAAAGTGGACTTAAAGAACAAATTTAGCAGTTGATTTGGGTGTATTGGCTGGGCTCACCGAACGAGGATTTCCACGTTAGAGGATCATTTTAATCTCTCCGCTTAAGGAAGAACGGGAGAAACAAAGTTTGAGATCTGGATTCCGGCTGAGCCTCATGGGGATTGGAATCCAAAACCTCGGCCGTCTGGGAACGGAAGCCCGTCCCTTCCGCCTCTCCCCAAGCTGGGGAAGACGAGTCGAGACCTCAAAGGAAGGATCCTGAACATTTTGGAATTGGGGTGTTTGAGGTGGAATTTGGGGAGAGCTTTGCGGGTCTCGCCACAAAATAGCTCCAGCCTTTTTCTGGAGAGGAGGAACAACCTCGAAGCAAAGCCAGAGTTGCAGGCCCCCGTTTTTCGGCCGAAAGGGTCCAATGGTTGGGTTTGAAGCCTGTCGTGTAGATCAGAGAATCTGAAAAGAGTTGAGACATCAAGCGGGGTTGAGAGACGTGGGGCTGCCAAAGGAAGTAATCATTCGAAGGGTGTTCCGTGGACCCCGAATGGGTGGATTTAACCCAAATGTGCAGGCAGAGGTTGTGCAGAGCGGTTTCTGAAATGGATCCCTTCTTTTTCCAGTTGTGGAGTGGATTCCCACCCAGTACCGGACGATCACCATCGCCATCTCTGGGTTGTCATATACTCTGGGGCAAATCCTTCTCGCTGGCTTGTCCTATGCCATCCGTGACTGGCGTTGGTTACAGGTGGCCGTGTCGGCTCCCTATTTTCTCTTCCTCCTGTATTCCTGGTACGTGCAGTGGGCGGGATCCCCCCTTTCCCAGCGGGCTGAAGTTTCAGAAAAGAAAAGGTTGTGGAGACAAGTACAGGTAGTCCTCAACTTACAACCACAATTGAGATCGGAACTTCTGTCACTAAGCGATGCAGTTGATACATGAGTCACACCCAATTTTACGACCTTTTTTGCTGTGGTTATTAAGTGACCCCAATGACTTTGCTTCTTGGAAGCCCCCTGGAAAGGTTGCAGATGGTGATCACATGACCCCAGGATGGTGCAACTGTCATAAATACATGCTGGTTGCCAAGCACCAAATTCTGATCACATGACCTCAGGGATGCTGCGACAGTCCTAAGTGCAAAGACTGATTGTAAGTCACTTTTTTCAGCGCTGTCATAACTCCAAAGGGTAGTTAAACAAATGGTCATAAGTCAAGGACTACTTGTAAAAGAGAAGAAAAGGGGTTTTGTGGGTCTGTGTAGAAGAGTACAGAAATAACTTTGAAGAAAGAGCACAAGAGCAGTTCCATTAACCCCAGTTTAGCCCTGAAAGAGAGGAAGGGGTAAGAAAGGAACTCAAGATTGCCTTGCCTTGATTCTCTTGGGTACAAGAGAGAACAGAAGTAAAACCTGTCAGGCTTCCAAGATTCTGTTATTATACCCTACAACAATAAAGTGGAGCTCCAGCTATTATACCCTACATCAATAAAGCTGTAATGGTATGTGGGAATGACCTTGGGAGACCAGATGAAGAGATGCTGCCTAGGGAACGGGAGATAAGAGGGAGCATAGCCCACAGCTGCACAGTGGCTGGGGCAAAAAGCTCAGAAGGGACCCTCCCTTGTTTCTCGAGCTGTATAGGAGACGCGGGGGGCGGGGGCGGGATTTGTACTTTCAGACTCGCAAGGTTCTGTCCATGTAGCTTTACCATAAAGTCGAATTAGCTGATCTGGCTGTGTTTCCTGCCTGGTCTACCTGGTAAGGCTGACCAAAATGGAGTTCCAGGAGTCCTCCAAGAGGTCTGAGAGCTACTAGATCGCTTATCCAGGGGTGGGCTTTAATCCAGGTTATTCATCATCCAGTCATTCTTGTTCCAATACCTTCTTGTTGTATCACACAAACTACTTAAGTATCCGATTCCCACTGTGTTCAGCGTCTGTTTCTCTTGATAAACCCACTTCTCACTTCCATATATCAAGGTGGGCAGAAACAGACTCTGTTTGACAGCTGTTTCGGCTTCTTTCAACCTTCATTGCTTGCAACAGAGTATTTTCCTACTGGTGTTTTCAGCCTTTCGGCTACGATCGAGGGTTGTCCTTGATCTGAACTTCTCATGAACTTCCATTTGAACATCGCCCTACCTGAAATGAGGAAGGATAAAAATCCATCCTGCTTTAGCATTCCTAGGTCAGCCAGTCGGCTCGATAGCCTGTGGAGATCACGGCCACTCGAATTTCTTTCTTGCAGGTGGTATGCGGAATCGGCTCGCTGGCTGATCCAGTCTGGACAGGCCAATAAGGCGGTTGGGGTTCTCCGGAGAGTGGCCCGGATCAACAAAAAGCGGGAAGCCGGAGCAAGGATCACCACGGAGGTATGGAGGAAATGAAGGGAAGAGGTCCACCACGCAGTTGCAAATCTTGCTAAATGACGGTCAGCCCTTGGAAGTTTGTTCAAGAAACAGACTCCATCAGAAGACTAGAACTACACTTTATGGAGACAGGTTGCATTCACAGAACCTTGCAGGCCTGATTGTGGTTTTCCTCCCCTCCCTCTTAGACTCCACTGAGTTAGGGAAGAGCTAACCTGAGCCTCTTTTTAACCCTGTGTCCTTTGCCAGGGCTCAAGGCACGTTTCTTCCTCTTCCACTTTTATAACGGCTTCTGAATATTTCCCTGAAGGTCATCTCCCCGGCTCTCTACACCAAGGTTTCTCAACCTTAGCCATTTTAAGCTGTGTAGACTTCCACTTCCAGAATTCCCCAGCCAGCATGCCCTAACCCTAACCCTAACCCTAACCCTAAGTCTGTAGAAATAAGAGACTTACCCCACTAGGTAGACCAGGTCAGAAGATCAACTCCATGTGAAGACTGCTTCATTGAGACAGGCTACAACCACAGAATCTCGCAAGTCTGATTGCACAGGACCTCCTTCCCCCTCTTATAATCCTGTGAATCAGGGAGGGGTCTCCCTCAGGACTTAAAAAATGTTTCAACCCCCCCCCCCCTTTTGCCTACACAACAGTTCTTGCATGTTTCCATCAAGGTCCTCCTCCTCCTCCTCTCCTTCCAGTCACAAAATGAACCCAACTTCCTTCGCATCCCTCCATTCAAGAAAAGTGTCCATGGATTGAGGTCCACGAAGCCTATCAAATCCAATTGCCACAGAGCTGATCAGGCTAAAAGGGCCCTTTATTTATTGCTTCGAAATCCTGATTTTTCTCTGAGAGCTCAGGATCTCTCATTTTATCCTCCCCCCAATGACCCTGTGAGGTAGACTGGACCGGGAGGAAGTGATTGGCCCAATGCCATTCAATGGGGTCTCTTACCAAGGGAGAACTTTCAATCCAGGTATCTTCATTCCAAGCTCAACAGCTTAACCGTGACTTTACCCTGAATGATTTACTCTGACATGGTTTCTAAGCCTTCATGGGACAAACTAAGGTGGACAGGACCATCTTTTTTGAAATGACCCCATTTTGACATGTATGAAGCAATATTTGGAGAAGACTAGAGAATACCATGGACAGTCAAGAAAACAAAATGATGGATCATTGAACAAATCAACCCAGAGTTCTCACTCGAGGCACAAATGACCAGACTGAAATGGTCCTACTTCAGACACATGATGTGAAGACCCAGCTCTCTGGAGAAGGCTCTGATGCTGGGAAAGGTGGAAGGAAAGAGAAGAAGAGGAGGACCAGCAGCCAGAACTCCAGGAATTCTGGGAGTTGAAGTCCACGCATCTTCAAGCTGCCAAGGTTGAGAAACACTTGAGAAATGACCAGGTTCAAATGATCCTACTTCGGACACATAATGGGAAGACCCAGCTCTCTGGAGACAGCTCTGATGCTGGGAAAGGTGGAAGGAAAGAGAAGAAGAGGAGGACCAGCAGCAAGGTGGAGGAACTCCATTACAGTGATGATGGGGGAACCATGTAGGAAGAGCTTATGGACCAAGTTAGGAATAGATCATCATGGAGAAAAATCTATCAATGAGTCACTAAGAGTTGACAATGACTCAATGGCATGTAATCAATCAATCAATCAATCAATCAATCAATCAATGTATCAAATATATGTCTTTTTGGAGAAGAGCCCCAACGTATTTAGGGTTTTTTCCACTCCTCTTTTCATTTTACTTGCATATTTTTTTTCCTGGTAGGTTCTGCTCTCCAGTATGGAAAAAGAACTTTCTTCGTGCAAATCCACTTACACGATTTCCGACTTGGTGCGCACCCCGACCATCCGTCGCATCTTCTGCTGCCTCTCCATGGTGTGGTAAGAGGTCAATCTGAATACTGGTGTCCTAAAGGAACAATGTCCTGTTGGCCAGCTTTCCAGGATCAGAGATAGGCTATGTATCCGAAAACCCCACCTTTGATCCCCAATCAAAGCAGGAATAAAACGACTGTTTGGGATAGCTGCCAGAAACCTTCCAAGGATAAATTCCACAGAGTTTTCTTTAGCGAGATTTATTGAGAAGAATGGAGTTACAAGAATTCCAACAAGGAATCTCCCTGAGTGTTGAGGTAGATATTTTCTGATTTGCTTTCTGAGATTCAGTGAGGATGCAGGTCTCTTTTCTGAAAACGGTGAAACTTGGAGATGGTAGTTTATACAGTCTCCGAAATCTTCAGCAGTCTGGGAATCAACTCTCACACCAGCTTGACCAAGAAGAGTTATGATTTTTTTTTTAAATTAATATTTAGGTTCTCTGTCAGCTTCTCCTATTACGGGCTGGTCATGGACCTCCAGAATTTTGGGGTCAGCATCTACCTCATCCAGGTGATCTTCGGAGCTGTGGATTTGCCAGCCAAACTGCTTGTCACAATCTCCATGAGCTACATTGGGCGGAAGTTCAGCCTCGCAGCCTTCCTCATTTCTGCCGGCATCATCATCATCACCAACTTATTTGTGCCCTTGGGTGAGTATCTCCTCATTTGTCCATCGTGTTTTCCTTGCCTTCTTATGTTGGTTTTCATCATGGCTAGGTCTCAGGAGACTTCCTCAGATGTCCTCCGAAGAAGAAGAAGAAGCGACCTGCCATGTTGCTCCTGGCCTGGAGAAGACCTGGGCCAGACCAGGATCCTTCCTCTCTCCTGAGAATGCTGATCTTTTAGCATGATTAGTCAGGGGTCTCCCATCCAGAGAGGAGAATGGTTTAACCTAGACTTTTCATGGAGTCCTCATGACTTTTATTCATGGAACTGTGGAATTATAAGGCACCCCAAGGATCACCTAGTCCAACCCTCTTCAACAGGCAAGGAAACCAATTAAAATATCTCAGACAGGGTTGTCCAAGCCTTCTTCTTAAAAGCCTCCAGAGATGGAGAACCTGCAACCTCCAGGTTCAAGACTGCCCTCTTACCCTCAAGAAGTTTTTCCTTCTGAAATCTAGAGAGCTACAACTTCTACGCATCGTTCACGCCATGAAATCGTTCTTGGTCATCTTCTCTGTCACCTCCCTTCCCTTATGCTGAGTTTTCATTAGCCCATATGAAGGGGACCCACAACTTTGACTTCTTCACCCTGCACATGGTGGATGGCTTGTTAGAACCGGGCAATCCGCACGGTGGGATGACTGGCCGGGTGCCACTGTGAGCTAGTCCCCACTGTTTTTGTCCCTCCCCAGAGATGCAGACGGTACGGACAGCGCTGGCTGTCATCGGGAAGGGATGTCTCTCGGCGGCTTTCAACTGCGTCTTCCTCTTCACGACAGAACTGTACCCAACCCCTGTCAGGTGAGGAGAGCTGCGCTGGAAGAGTCGGGCAGTGATGTCTTTATGTATATTGAAATCTAAAGAAATCAATCAAGATACACAAAGTCCCCTTCCCCTTCCTTTTGGAACTGTAGCTCGGGGGCAGAATCTCTTCCCTTCCCCACAAGTTCTGGGTTCGATCCCCCACATCTTCGAGTAAGCGCACGGGGGGAAAATCCCATCTAAATTTTTGGGAGGCTGCTGTTGGTTAGAATCCACAATCTTGGAGAAGATAGAGCAGAGGGTTGTGACTTGTATGCACGTACCTCACACACACACACATGCACGCACGCACTCACACACATCCTACATTAATCTAGAGCCCTTAAGATGAATGATCTTGTCATCAAAGGAATTTTGATAGCATGGTAGCATAGGGGACTGTTCCCAGGCCTTCTTGGTGATACCCCCCCCTTTTCATACCCCCCCTCAGATATAAGGACTGCCCCCCTCCCTGCCAAGTTTTCCAACAGCCGTGGAGTCTGGGCATTTCTGGGTACCTGGTTAAAATGGGCCTAGAACAGTGTTTTTTGGCCTTTGCAGTTCCTCCCCAGCTTGGGGTTTGGGTGATTTTCAGTCTTCTTCCTCTGCGCAGAGGGTCAGCCCCACAGAGCCTCCCGATTAGTGGGGCAGAAAGTTCTGGGTAAATCCATTCAGAGGAAATAAATCAGTGGGGGGAAAGCTGGACCCCTCCCCAAGGGTGGCAAGGCGAAGCCGATCTCGGCAGGAGGCAACCCCGGCCGGCCTTTGCCTGTCTGAATTTCTCTCTGCCCCGGCTTATGCCGAACAAAATCAAGGCGAGGTCACCTTGACTTTCTTTCTGACACTTTCCTCTTTCTCGGGGCTAGGAAATCTTTTCGGAAAATCCTCCCTTCACGCTTCGCTCCTTCTTTCCCTATCCCCAACACAGGTTTGCCTTCCTTCACAAATGTGCCTGGCAGTGATGCGGCCACTTGGGATCCAGCTTGTCCACATGGGGAAAGGGATCTGGGGTTCCAGATCTCCAGAACTCCCCAATCTCACTGATCTGCCTTCCTTTCTCCCCATCCTTCGCCATCCCCAGACAGACGGGGCTCGGTTTCGGCAGCACGATGGCCCGGGTAGGAGGAATGGTCTCCCCACTGGCCAAAATGTTGGAAGACTATTACGCCTTCCTTCCTCCCATCGTGTACGGAGCTATTCCCATCACGGCTGGAATTATTGCTTGCCTCCTCCCCGAGACTTTGAACGTCCCGTTGCCGGACACGATCGAAGACGTCGAAAACAGGTGGGTGGCCGTCGTTAGGGCTTCTCTCAGTGGGGAGAGTGGTTGATTTGCCCGGGCTCGGCAAGCACAGCTGAGCCTGGTTAATCCTTGGATGGGAGACCACGAGGAAATCCCAAGGCTAGATGGGAAAGTTAAAAAAAGATACAGAAAGGTATGACAATGGTAAACAGAAATGGTTGATTGTGGCTGGCCTTTGATTAACAGTCAAAGGTCCAAACTAGACCTGGGGGGAGCGTTAAGTGAATGACAGGATTGATATGCCTTTCAGCTGACTTTTAATTTATTCTCTCCCCCCCCATCTCCAGATCCAGAAAGAAGAATAAGGAAGAAATAGCCCAAGAAAAAATTCTGCTTCAGAGGCAGGAAAAAGTTTTGTTCAGAGAGACTTGCTGACTTCATCTACAATTTGATTCTGGAAATAAAATTCTCAGAGTTCATTCTTGGATCTGCAGTTAGCAAAGTTGGAACATGGGACGTTTCTGGACGTTTTTCCAAGCACTTAAAAAATAGACCCTTGTTTTGGTCATTTTTCCCCCTTTTCTTGTATTCTACTTGGGCCCTGGGTCAAGGATGGGAGGTCTGTGAGCTCAGCCCGCCTGACGGGGAGGACGCAGTGCTGTGATAATAAAGATGGAGAATGCCTTCTGAACATGTGCAGAGTACATTTCCAAAAATCAACTCTTGAACAGTCAGGGACTTCCCCCTTTAGACAGGAGACCCAAGCTACCACCTTTTTTGGGCCAAGTCTTAGCAGTTTTACTTGTTCTTTCAAACTGGGGTCTTCTGAAGTCATGAGTTTAGGAGTTCTTCCTGATCTTGTTATCTGCCTGCAATTAATTTTTTTTTTCTTGTAATGTTGGGGATCGAACTCAAGAGCAACTTCGGATAATTTCATGGATACAACCATGGAGGCTTTTTTTTTGTAAACAGTTAGTTTGGCTAATTGTCTTCTTGCTGGATTTTTGTAAAACTTCCCAGATGGGTCCTCCTGGTGATCTCCCATCCACGTATTCACCAAGTCTGGCCCTGCTTAGCTTTTGCAAAACACAAATGCCTTCAGACGTCAAACAGTAGTTGACTTTTCAGCCCCGGTTACGTGCCATATCTGGTGACGCCAGCCACGAGATAAACCTACATCTTTTGTCAGTTTGCAAACACAGCTTCTAGGCCACTAAGGGCGGGGG